TACAATTTGCATTTGCTGTGATTCAACTTCAATCCGTACTCAGAAAGGGTGTCTGAAAACTCACGAAGGCGGGCCGCCAGCGAAGCAACATCCCTCCCCCAAAGCAAGCCATCGTCCATAAACAAGGAATCCTCACACTCCAATTCTGGGTAAAGCCTAGGTCTGTGTTGCCATCCACAGCGGAGACTGGTTTCGAGCAGTGCGTGCTCCATTATAAAGGAGAAGAGAAGCGGCGATTCCGTGGCTCCTTGTTTGATTCCAGTAAACATACCAAAAGTCGAGGACCCCCACACCGTCTGAAGCGTAGCTTCCGTCCCGCAGAGCAGATTATGGAGGCAACGGTACTCAGGCGTGTTACCGAGAACTGCACGGAGTTTCTGTAGCAAGCGACGACGACACAAGGTATCAAAAGCCTTCCTGATGTCAATCTGTGCAATGACCACTCCGGCCTTCCACTCTCTCTCCAACTGCAAGAGTCGCCAGATGGCGAAGATGACATCTGACGGCTGCCGCTGCCCTCCAGCACATTGGGCGTGGCTCACATACGGCATGCAGTGCCTGACGCGGTTAAGCACCATCCTGGAAAAGAGTTTAGCCCCAGTACTGCCGAGCGCAATCGGCCGGAGATCCCCCGGGGAAGCTGGCTGGTCAAGCTTAGGGAGAACAATGAGGAGAGGCCTATTCCATTCGGCCGGAATGCGCTGAGTAGCCAGTGTACGGTTCATGAACTCCAGTAGATGCTGTTGTCCCCCGTCCGTGTTGACAATGCCCATTAAGAGCTCTTTGGATGTAAGGTCACGACCAACCGACTTAGACCCTTTGAGCTGCCCCAGTGCCGTCTGAAGTTCCTCAACCGTAAAGGCTGTCACCTCCTGGCTAGTGTCATAGACCGGCTGTATGTCACTCCCTTGCCCTTTGTAGATACCGCTGAGGTGATCGTGCACAACATCATGCGGGTCTCGGCTCTGCCTATCAGCAAAGTCAATTTCCCATCCCTGCTTCGCCTGAACCTTGCTTTGTTGAAAGGCCTTCCAGTCCCCTTGCAGCGCCCGTGACTCCCTCTGTCGCTCCCACTGTTGCCTGGCCGCCTTGCGAGATGCCAGCGCAGTCTTCCAAGCGTTCCTGGTCTTAGAGCTTTTGGCGGCCCGGAAAAGGTCCTTCACTGCTTGCGGGTCACGGTAGGCATGGCTGGGTTGAGGGCGGGTACACTTAGCCGCCAAGTTCTCCAGGACGGTTTGGTCCACGTACTCCAATGTCGGAGGCCCTCCTGTCCACACCCTGGGCTTAGTCTGAAAGCGCGTCACCCCTTTGCCCTGCACAATCCGGAAGCTGGAACATAGCAACTCATGGTCTGTTCCCAGTGTCAGGTAGGAGTCCCGAAAGATGGTGACCCCCTCTGTTCGAAGGCGCCTCGCCCCCACCGTGTCAATCTGCCGCCCTTGTCTGCCCTCCTGCCTGGGGCGAGACGTAGGAAGCCCCCTAGAAGGCGGCAGGGGGGCCACAAGGTGGAGCCCCTGCCTCGCAAACCGATCCAGAAGAATAAGTGCTTTTGCATCCTTGCCAACTGCTTCCCACTGCCCTGAAGTCTCCGTCCAACCAAACCCCGCATTAGCGTCCCCTTGCACCACGAGCCTGTCCGGTTCTTTTGGGGCCTGAGACACGAAAAGGTCCACCTGCGATGCAAAGCAGTCGACTGTACAACCCGGAGTAAAGTGGTATGTTCCAACCCAAATCTCGCTTGAGTCCTTTAGCCGACGAAGCTTGAACCACGTACCTTTGCCGGCCGGACGTTTGCGGAGGACCGACCACTCATCCTTGCAGAAGAGGAGACCCGTGCCCCTCCACTGGCTTTCTGGTTGGTGGGAAAGAACAACCCACGACCCTTGGTACCACTTGCTCCATCCCGACTTGCCTCGCGGCAGCTCCTGCAAAAGCAGAAGGTCCCCTTTGAGGACACTCCGGTCTTCGGGCGTCCTTCCCGAATTCAAAAAACTGCTCCACACCCCTTTCTGCACGAACCAAAGGATCCGCCAAAGTCATAGTCTGGGACTTATCAGCCGACCCATCGGTTCCCACTGTAGCATGCATAGTTAGGTGCCTGACCCCCTCACGGCAGCGACCGAGGAGCCCCCTAAGGCGGTCAAGGCCCCGCTGAAGTCATCTCCTATTAGCCACCAGAATCTCCCGGAGCTTGTCAACCCCTAGCTTCGATTCCCTAGAGAACGCGCCGAGATCCACCCATGGCTTACATGTCTCCGCATTGGAGTCCACCATCATCTCATGAGATTTCGCTCCTGTGTTGGGCTGTCGGCTGACGCTGGCCACAAGGCTGTCCCCCATCCACACCGAGCCCGTGGCGTACTCCACATCCACCGCCGCCGCGAGGTCGTCCGAAACCGAACCAAGGGATCTTTTCACCCAGGCACAGTGCGCCCCGGTCTCCCGCTCCTGCTTCGACTTAGAATAAGAGCACCAGAGCCGTTTGCCCGACGAGGTGACCGCTTCAGCCCCGTTGACCGCAAGGAGAACTCGGTGCATTCGTGCCTTCCTGGAAGACTCCTGTTCATGCAGCCGCAAGGGCATGTTCAAGAGCGCGATGCTTCTCCGCGGGCCTGTGGTAAAAACCTCCTCGTCCACCTGAGTGGTCAGACCCAGTCGGGTGAGCGCCTCCGTCATCTCTCGGACAATCACATTCCTGCGGGTATCTCGGGCCCATCCTCCAAACACTAGCGTCTGCTTACGCCGCTCGTCACCGAGAACATGAGTCCCCCCTTTGAGCAACTGCTCCATCCTCTCCAGCCGGCTCTGCATGGACTCCACTGACCCCGACAAGGTGCGCGTGCTGGATTCCACCTCGGTCAGCCTAGCATCGTGGCGCTCCTCCAAGGAGCGGACGAGCCCTTCAGCATGATCGCGATTGGCCGCCAGAATTTTCTGTGACTGTTCCTCAAGAAGGCTGCGGAGATCACCCAGAGTCACATTAGCCAGGCTCGTTCCATCACTCCCGTCAGTCCCCACCCCCGGGCCCTTCGCAAGCGGCGGGGAGCGCTTGACTTTATTCGGAGCCCCAGCCTGCTTCGACTGCTCCCCTGGTCGCTTCCGCGGGCTGTCCTCGAGGTCAAGGTCCGGGTGGTCAGGAACATGCGGAACAGTCCCACCAAGCTGCATAGCCATGACCCCTGCGCCCCCTAACCTCAAGCAGGCAGACGAGCGAACCCCTCGGCCCTTGAGCCAAAATGGCTGGAGCCAGGATTTAGGGTTTAGGGTTTAGGGTTAGGGGTTTTCAGGGTTTAAGGTTTGGGGCTTAGGATTTAGGGCTTAGGGTTTGGGGGTTTAGGGCTTAGGGCTTCAGGTTTAGGGCTTGCGGTCTCTGGTCTTGGACGGTTTGGGGTTTAGGAACTCAGGCTGACTATTTCCTGAAGGCCCTGATCTCTCTGCATGTCTCACAGTCCATCAGACTTTCCTGAACCATGTATCCCAAACATCCGGCACCATCCTAAACCCAAACTCTGGCGCCTCCACTGTGGAACCTAACCACTAGACCCTAAGCCCCAAACCCGAGGCCGTAAACTAAACCCTTAATCAGAACCCCGCCTGCTTCACAGCGACGCCGACGCGTGCCCCGGGCCAGTTGGGATTCGCCTCGATGGCACCATTCCTGTTTAGGGTTTAGGGCTTAGGGTTTAGGGTTTCTGTGGCTTTCCTAAAGTCTCCATGGTGGTGCCTTTGCTGGCTTAAGCAACTTTATAGGTAGGATCTTGTAATATAGGAGCCTTAATAACTAGAATATTGAATAGGGTTTTGTGGCCCATTAGATTATAGTTCCAATGAGGAACCCCACAATAATATAGGTAATTACTAAGGCCCCTATATTAAGTTAACACACGAAAGGAACTACAATGGACTGTAGGTCGGCTTTGGGTCTAGGATTCGAGGATTCTAGATTCAGGGCTCAGAGATTTAAGGTTCGGACCAGGGTTTAAGTAAGATCCTAAGCAAAATACAGACAAACCTACAAAACCGTATTCTATTAAACCAGGCACCTGCAACAGGGTCAGCTGCATGGGGTTCAACCGTGTTTACATGCACCTGATAGTAATTGGAGGATCCAAGGTTAGCCTTTTGGGAGTATATTGAGATTATAGGGGTTATAGTACCCCAAAAAGGTTCACGGTTACCTACTCTACTACCAAGTCTGCAATTCGCAGGGCCGAGTAAATCCAACAAACCTGATTAATGTTTATGGAAATGTGAAACGTCAAGGATTCTGTAGAGCACAGCACACAGTGGCTCCGTCATTCAGGGTCCAACTGCAAATCATCAGGGTGCTATACAGGCTTTGGAAGCATTCGTTATGGCTTTCTGTGGGTTTGATCGGGTCTGCATCATTCCTACTCGTATCCCTTGTCGTCCGTAAATATTCATTCATACCAGTGATACCATCCCATGAATGAGAATGATGGGTAGGTTCTGATTGAGGTTCCAAATCCCGAAGTAGCGCAATGAATATAACTCAGATGCCCCTACATCGTTGCATATTCTGCACCGGGGGTCGGTAGTAAAGTGATCGTATACGTATATGGGTGGTTGTCAAAATTATGGTCCCTTTGTGGGGTCCCTAATATAATACGGCACCTAATATTCAGGGTACCCAAAAAAGGACCCTAATTTTGACAACCACCCATATGATACCGTATATGGTTCAGCATTACATGACTGGAACACCTCAAGCCCTAAGCCGGTACAAGACAGAACCCGTATAAAGACAAACTTCAACAACATGCTTTACAGAATCATTATTAACTCCATGGGTCCAAGTATGTTCATAACAGGACTTTAGTTACTATACACCGCTCCTAATAATATGGATTTTGGGACCGAAAGCCCCACTGCCACTGTTTAGGTGCTTGGGCGCTTTAAACCTCAAACCCTAAACCCTAAACCCTAAACCCTAAACCCTAAACCCTAAACCCTAAACCCTAGCCGAGCATCAGATACTTCTGCCGCAGTGCCTCCGACGCGGCGAAAACCGATGTGGCCTGGGATTCAGCACTTGCAGGCTCACTGGTTTAGGGGGAGGAACATAGGGTCTAGGAATTTAGGGTTTAGGGTTTTGAGTCATTTTAGAGTCTTGGGTTTAGGGGCAAGTTAAGGGCTCTTGTAAGGGTGCCGGAGCCTTGAGTTTCATGCGGGATTTTGTCCGGGATTTACTTGGTTCTAGGGTTTAGGGTTTAGGGTGTGAATTTCTGAATACCCAGGCTGTCCGTATAAACTACCAGTATGGAATCCGACACCAAAAGACCCTCCCTATTATGGTGCTGGGGGGGCCGAATTCCATAATGGTAGTTCTGGGTTACTGCCCTAAACGCCATCCCGCAGGAAACCCTAAACCCAATGGCCCCGACAAGCTTACTTGCCTCTATACTGGGTTCAGGTTTAGGGTTTAGAGTTTGGGTTTAACGACCCTAAACCCTAAACCCCAAACCCTACTTAGCCCTAATCCAAAGGGCGGCAACCTACAGGCAGTGGGCAGTGGGTTGAAAGGAACCGATTTGAGGCTGACGCTGTCGTTGCTGTTGGTAAATGGGAGCCTTAATAGTTTGAACAGGGTGTTGGGGAGTAGTGGAGTAGGGTTTTTATAAGGCACCCTCAGGAATAGTACTGCAACATATTTATTATCAGCTAATTCATTAAAACCCTAAACCCTAAACCCTAATCCCTAAACCCTAAACCCTTAACCCTTAACCCTAAACCCTAATCCGAGATGAGCAGGCGAGCCGGAGGAAAGATATCCATGCGCATTGGCAAAAAAGCTGTTGCCGGATCAACCCACGAAGCCTAGTCTGAGCGCAACCGCTGTACTACTGTTGATGGACAAAATCCTGCATGACCTTATATACCTAAAGTATGGGATTTATGGTACTATACTATATTTCTGTCATGCAGAATTTTGTCCATCAGCCGTATGTAAGCCCCTCGCTCTTATGACGCTTCATAAAACAAATGTCCGGATGTGTTGGGGGGAAGTAGGGCGATGAGTTCCCCAACCAGTTTTGAACAAAAATCCTAAATCCTGAACCATCAGCCCTTACCCTGAGCCCTGGTGATGGTTCCCACAAACACTGCAACCCTGAAGCCTGACAGCAGAGTGGCAGCATCGACCACAGTGAGAACATCCATGCCGGCTGATGCCTCTTTCGAGGATGTTCATTTGTCGCTTCTCTACTACTGTATTTCCCCTAAACCCTAAACCCTAAGCCTTAAACCTAGTTTCATAACATTTTTGATCGGGGATTTAATTTATGACCGAATAGATTCTCGGGCACAATGCCACTAGCTCGTAACAGTACCTGGGGCTTGTTGGGCAGGGTTAAGGGTTTAGGGTTTGTGGATTCAGGCCATGTGGGTTTAGGGCTTTGGGTTCTGGATAAGGTGAAGCCCGAACACGGATGGCATGCCCTGAACGCGACCTCGCAACCCAATCTCTCAACCCCTGACTCCATGTCCAGAAACCATGAGTCCTACACTTCAAACCCTAAAACCACTAACTCAACATGAGCACTCTTTTGTGAAACGTTAAGAATTGTGAAAGTCGTTCTTCCTCCTGGCAGTCTAAACCCCGTGATGCTCGTATGACTCGAACCCCTGGACTTCTGAAAGCCTCGACCCTAAACGGCCCTAGACCCTAAACCATACCTGTTGCCGAAAAACCCTACCTTTTTAGGGGTTCCTTATTGTGGTTTCTATATATAGCTCCTTTAAAAGGTAGGTTTTTTGGGCCACAAGTAAGCCCTAAAGGCCCCCAACTGAACCAAACTTCCATGAAGAAACACCACCTTCCCTCCCATGAGCCTCCTGGAAGGAGGCCACAGCAGGCCTCACCGTGGAGATCACCTCCACACAAGAACCTTAAACCCTAAACCCTAAACGCCCTACTAAACCCCGAAACCCCAAAACCCTAAACCACGGATTAAGGGAGCCGCGTTCTTGAGTTGATTCGAGCATATGGGGGTTTCCGAAAATAGGGGACCCTAATGTAGTACCTTAAATAGTAGGACCATTATTATAAGGACCAACCCTAAACCCTAAACCCTAAACCCTAAACCCTAAACCCTAAAGCCCCCAAATAAGGTACCCCTTATTTTCGGAAAGTCCCATATGGGTAGTGCCCTCGATCCGGTTCCCTGTTTAAAAGGTCCCAAAAATTGTACGTCACCCGTATAAAGTATGCAGTTAGAGGTCGACAAGGGTGTACCTTAAGAACCCCAAACCCACCCTTTTTGTAGGTTCTTATTATAAACCCTAATATGGGGTTTATAGGAACCCTACAAAAAAGTAGGTTTTGGGTTTGTAAGGTAGGGTTTTACTGTAATCTGAGCCCATTGAAGTAAAGTTTCGAAGGGTAGCATCCTAAAGGTGACAGGAAGTGGAATGACAGATAAGGTTCGGCTTTGTTTACGGCTATTTATATACGCGTGTACGCACATATTCTGTATATGTGTCCGTACGTGCGCGCACACACACACAGAGACACATGTATGGTACTCATCTTGGGCTGCTTGCGATAGAAGTAAGCAAACACCAACATTGATTGATGGACCCTATACCCTAAGCCCTAAACCCTGTACCCTAAACCATGAACCCTGAACTCTAAACCCTGAACCCTGAAAAGTAAGCCCTAAACCCTGCATGATCAGAATGGGTCTGGGGTTTCGTATCGGGTTAGGGCCGGTGGGGTTGTAGGTGGCTTTCAGGGGCTCAAAAAAGGAGAGGAGAGAATCCGACGCCAGGGACATGCTGCCATTTTGCTTGGGGTCTAGGGTTTAGGGTTTAGGGTTCCCTAAACCGTAAACCCTAAATCGACGAATATGAGGGAATGTTCATGCTGCTTTATCCTAAATCCTACACCCTTCGAATCCGCTTCGATCGGCTATAATTGTTCGAAGCCGAGCCCGACATGTTGTAGCTTCTCCTTGAGCCCCGACACCCTAAACCCTAAACCCTAACCCCTAAACCCTACACCTTAA